CTTGAAATAGTGGATCTTTTGAACTTTGTTGCTTGCCATCATTTTGAGCACATTGCCACTATTTCTTCCCTTACTAAGAAATAAGACTCATTATACATTATGATGCAGCAATCACACACTTAGAATGGGCAGGAAGTAGAAGATAAAATATTGCCAGCAGCTTTTGGCAGTTAAGCAACATTCACATAAATCATAAGATGGAGGTTTCACAAAATGCAGGCTTATATTCAAGGCCATATATCAGCTCAGCGGGAGCTTTCATCTAGGATTTTAGTAAAGAAACAAGAAATAATTTAACTCCCTAGATTCCGCCTTTTAGGGCCCTTTACACTATTCTGCCATCACACACATCCTTTTCCTTTTACTCCACAGTATACTTTTTATCACAAGTCTTATTTTCTCAGAACTTTGATCATTATTCTCAGACTTTTATTTCCAGCATTGTACTCCCTTTTACTTTGTGTCCTCACACTCTCTTAGCGCTCCATAATTTATCTACAATACACTACTACTATTCATATCATCAAGACGTGTGTGTGTACTTTAGCTAGTGGCTGGACAAATCTCAAGACCAGTTAACCAATGCAGCTCGACGGTTACAAATGGTATCTATATTATCAGTGGAAGCACGGTCCCTTGCTTCTTAAAATTTGTGTGCCAGAAACTTATTACAGCAAGTCCCCTACATATGAACGAGTTCCCAAGAGCACATCTGTAAGTCCAACTAAGTTAACCTAGGTACCCAACCAACACAATTCGCCAAATAAATTGCTGTAATAGGTTTATAACACATTTCAGACTAGTAATACATGGAAAAACAAGTTGAAGTAAAGATACAGTAAAGTACACAGAAGCACAACCATTTTTAGAAGATGTGCTCATACGAATGTACACCAGAAATGTGAACTAATTCACATATTTGGATATGCAGACACATTTTCGTATCTTTTGAAGGTTCGCATGTGGGGAACTAACTGTACTCATGTTTGTGTGGAGTTTGAGAAGTTTGATTAGGGCCAGTATTTAAGTCCTATGGGTTCTAGATCCTCATGGCTAGCATAAAGTTCAACTCTACAGGAGAGAGATCTATGCTTTGGGTGGCACAGGGTACAAATCATTTCGCCATGAGGTCTCCCTGATTGTCCTTAATTCACTATACAAATGATGGGGTTGGGCTTAGGTGGATTCTCACAATAGGCTACCTACAAGTACGATCCATGTTTTGAAGGACCGTGGTACAGATATGTTTGCTTTTACTTAGTGAACATGCATGCTGATGTCTGTGGTGAGGGAATGGAACATCCCAGCCACTGTCTTGGGGCGGGGAAAAAAAAAGTATTCAGAAAAATCCAACTTGGCTGATAATCTTCTCAGGAAAATCGTACGTGTGACGTCCGCCATGGTCTGATAGGATCTACCAATATAAAACATTCCCTGATCAGTCTAAAAACAGCTTGATTAGGCCAACAATATCTGTCTTTTGGCACATTTTGGTCTTGCCAGGGAGATCTCTTGCTGCCAGCGTGAACTTTCAGAAAAGCTGAATTTCACCAGCCAAGGTGGTTCTTCAGGCTTACACAGGTTCTCCAGTACTCAACCATATTGGTTTGCAAAAGAAACCTAGAGAGCTGTCTCTAACATTCACTTAGTATGCTGAGCTTTCCCACATATTCATGCACACACCTGTTTTACCAGAAAGAAAAAGTAGATTTTGGTTGCAAACTAGCATGTCTGAGTGCTTTGAAAGCTTTTAATACTCTGTGTAGTTAATAAGCCCTCCATTTGTTTGTCTGTTAAAGGAGCTTGACCTTGGTCTTCGTGATCAGCCATAGGCAGTATGAACAATCGGTATATGTCTTACCAAGTAGCACTGCAGGGAGACATTAGCCATTCTCTGAAATCAGAGTCCTATCCTGATTGGCTGGACTGGCCAAAGAGTATTACTGGTGTATTTGCTTAGCACTTCTTCCCTATCTGTCCTGCCCACATAAATATTTTCTAACAAGCTTAACATCTGTATGTGCAATACACAACAGCTGGAATTCATTATCACCTCTAGAAGCACTCTAGATGTCCCAGTCTGCCCCTGGTCAGGCCATGAATCGTGTATGGTCTACCCCTACTTAACTGTCTATGACTTTGTCAACCTTTCACTTTTATCTGCCCATTTTCTTTTTTTAATTCTCTATTAAATCTCTAGATGAGTTGTACAGGGAGCTGCATGAATGGCAGCTAGCAAAGTTTGTGCAAAAAAAAAATGTCAAGAATAGGAAAGGAAGAAAATAACTTTGGGGGATAGGTGAATAGGAAAACTGCACAGTTGGGGGGAGAGATCAGAGGGTTGGTCTATCTGGAGTTGGGTGCATGGGTCAGGAAGTAGGGTTCTCGAGTGTTAGAAGGCCCATATTTGGGGCCTAAGGGGGAGGTGTATGTGGCCCAGTATGTCTCGTGGTAACCATTTTATTTGGCAGTTTCTCAAAAACCATAGTTTGCGGTCTATCTGGAGTTGGGTGCCTGGGTCAGGAAGTAGGGTTCTCGAGTGTTAGAAGGCCCATATTTGGGGCCTAAGGGGAGGTGTATGTGGCCCAGTGTGTCTCGTGGTGACCATTTTATTTGGCAGTTTCTCAAAAACCATTGTTTGTGTCAATCTGGCTTTAATCTCCATTATTCTGAAGGTTGAAGTCTTCCAGGCCTTGGCTATCACTTGCTTGGTGGCTGTGAATAAATAAAAAAAACTCTAAAGGTAGATTCGTCAACACCATTAGGCTTGCAAGTTAGCAAAGATTTGTATGGACTTATGTGAAGTCTTTGGCCATATAACCCATAACAAATTTGTGGGGGAGAGGGGGTTTGTCATTATTGGGGATGAAGCTGACAAGCCAAATGGATATGTAGTACCAGCATTTTAGCACCTTGTAATTGTTTTTCACTGCCAAGGCGTTGTGCAAGCAGGCTTTTGTAGATGGCCAGCTCTGTGCCCATTTTTCTTCTGCCTGTGAGGAGCCAGAGTCAGATTCACATTTGGTTAGGTATGTAGGTGGAGATGCAAAGTATCTAGTCTTTTTCTAATGACTCTGTTAACAGGACTGTAATGAACTCAGAATAAAAGTCTGTATATTGTACTTTTTCAATTCTGATTATCTAGTATTAATATATATAAATATTTTCTATGAAGGTCCAGAGAATCTGCTGTCTTTGGTAACTAAAACCCTGCCATTTGTGGCCATAAATTCTTCTTACATCATACCAAAAAATACTCATGCAAGATTTATCTGTGTATGGTTAACAAACTATAATATCAGTCAATCACAGAAAGCTGCCACTGGTGTCTTTAGTGATTGGAAAGTTGCATGTTTTCCCCCCCCAATATACTGTATATTTTTACTGATTAGGCAGAACTAGAGATCCTACAACACTTTGGATAAATGTTTCAAAGGCAGTAGTGTTGAAAACACCATCTTGCATAAAATAGTTGATGTCAGGTAAGAAGATATTAGTATATAAAAAAGTGCAGTGCTAATACAAAATTAGATGAAAGTATATATACATGTACAAACTCATGCAGTATAAGGTGTCTTTGTGCATACAGATATACGCCACTATACTGTGGCTAATAGGACGTGAGGAAGGATTGTTACATCCAAAGGTGAGTTCAGCGTGAGGATGTGAACAAAGTCTCAAACAATCTATAGCTCTCCAGACGACACCGACTGTGTGCACGGCGAAACAATGGGGGTACAAATTGCACACTCACCAGATGCGCAACCTTTGTGTGCTTTTCTATAACATAAGGACCTCCAATCATTCAACTAGGGTCTGGTCAGATCTGGTCAGGTCCCCTTCTTTCTCCAAAACCTTGCGATCAGCCTTCTCCTTAAATGATCACCACTCTCCGAATAAACTTGGCTCCCGCAGGAGCTCAGAAAAAAGCAAAGGAGGCCAATAGTGTAGTATGTCTATGGGTACATTTATTCCCACATACAGACAAAGGTATGGAGTAAGTAGAATAAAGAGGGGTCCCGGCGGCAACTATATACTGGGTCAGTATCTTTATTCTACATACTCCATACCTTTGTCTGTATGTGGGAATAAATGTACCCATAGACATACTACACTATTGGCCTCCTTTGCTTTTTTCTGAGCTCCTGCGGGAGCCAGGTTTATTCAGAGAGTGGTGATCATTTAAGGAGAAGGCTGATCGCAAGGTTTTGGAGAAAGAAGGGGACCTGACCAGATCTGACCAGACCCTAGTTGAATGATTGGAGGTCCTTATGTTATAGAAAAGCGCACAAAGGTTGCGCATCTGGTGAGTGCGCAATTTGTACCCCCATTGTTTCACCGTGCACACAGTCGGTGTCGTCTGGAGAGCTATAGATTGTTTGAGACTTTGTTCACATCCTCACGCTGAACTCACCTTTGGATGTAACAATCCTTCCTCACGTCCTATTAGCCACAGTATAGTGGCGTATATCTGTATGCACAAAGACACCTTATACTGCATGAGTTTGCACATGTATATATACTTTCATCTAATTTTGTATTAGCGCTGCACTTTTTTATATACTATTGTCTGTTGGAAGGTCTTATATGGTGCCTTTGGTGTACAGCTGCTGCTATTTTGGAAGGCGCTCGCTTATTTATATGTTTTTAGGTAAGAAGATATTAATTCAGGGCTCTGTTCATTGCCCTAGTATTTGGGATTCGGCATGCATGGCCACTTTAATGCTATGCTATTTGCTTGTCACCCCATTATAACCACTTTATTTTCCGTTACTCGTCCATCTAAAGATCAAAAATACTTAGCAGTTTGGGGGCGTGACTTGGGGAAAATGTGAAATCATTATGGGGGAAACGTGGTATTAAAACTAATGATCAAAATTTGTTACAAAACGCACAGCATAATCTAAATCTATGTCCTTAAATCTTTCTTTATTCTCTTTACGTTTTTGCTGCCATTTGAATTAATGAACCCTCACTTGGTTTTTCTCTCTGTTGTTTAGTGAAGCAGATGATGGTTGCCGGAAACCATTGGAGAGATTGCTACACATCTGGCAAGAGCGTAGTGTCTACTCCTCCGACTTCGTCCAGCAGCTCAGACTGGGAATGGATGAGGATGACAGCCCCAGGGAGCCTCCAGGTACTCCACCCCCGAGGAACCCTGTGTGACAGTTGTCTTGCTCATTTTACTTGAGATATGGATGTGAGCGGCACTTCTTGAGGAGCACTTCTTACTAATCCCTCCACATTCATAGGTGCCCGCTCCACATTCATATAATTCATATATACATTTTTACTGTTACACGTTTTTGCGTTGTTTTAATTGTGTGTGTAAATAGAGATTGAAGGTTGCAAATTCATGAAGTAGGTAAAACTGTGTCATTTAGGCCCTATTGAGTTCACAATTTGGAATTGCAGGCAGAATTCCTGCCCACGATTTCAAATCATGTGGCAATCACTGCAAAATGTGCAACACACAATGCGATTCTGCTGTGATTGTCGCATCGCAATCGCGGGAAAAACCACGCCTTTAAAAATCACGTGAAGCACGTCATTCGAAAAGGAAAAAGGGGCTGGCCCTATGCAACACAAACGCTTTTTGAAAATTGTGTAGCATAAATGGGGCCTAAGTTAGATGTTATGAAGTTGTTTGTGTTGATGGAAAATGATTGATAAGGGTGAGTTTTAATTACACCTATGTAGTTATTGCTGTTCAAACTCATGTTAGGAACAAATGAAGAGATATGAGAAGTGAATAGGTAAATCTGAGTGTTTTTGTGAAAGTGGTGAAAAGTTAGTTATGAAAATGTGTGTGTATTTTGTGTGTAGACCTGCAAAACCATTGAGTGCCAGCCATGATATATCATTTCAATGGCTATGAAGGTTAAAGCTGTATTAAACCAAAAACAAACATTTTACAGTTGCAGCCTAGCAGTTCTTAGATGTAGTGATTGCAACCTTTTCATTTTTTTAATTCCCTTTTATTTTCCCTTGATCCTGCCAGCAAGTCTGTTTATTTTTCATCTTCCTTTAACAGAACAAGGGCTGTTCAATCAAAGTAGCTGGTTCACCATGTGAAAATAAAGGAAATGCATCCTAAAAAACAAAAAAATGATTGCAGCCACATTCATGGACTAGTAAGCTGCAATATATAAATTTTTTTTTTTGTTTTTAGGTTCAATGCCACTTTAACATAAATGTTTTATTTTACAATTATTTCACATTGCTGCAGCTCAAGGATAGTACTATTGGTCAAAATGACAAATAATGATCCTTTTGAAAAGCTACCTTCAAAAAGTCTTCATGCACACTGGATGTTTTTACAGCTGCTGTTTTTGGCTTTTGTCGTTTTTTTCAACAGCTATTAAACCCCACAGCATGTTATCCTATATATCCATATCCTATGATTACACATAGACTGTAATCAACGTTTTTTGGCTGGAAAAAAACCCAGGACTAGTGGTTTTTTTAGAGGAGTTTTGTAGCTGTAAAAACAGCTCTAACACTGAAAAACGCAACAAAACATGGTAAAACTCCACAAACTACCTTTTTCTGACCTTTTGTTGACCAAAAAAAATTTATTTATTTTTTTTGGTTTAAAAAAACGCTAAAAAAACGCAAACGCTGGAAAATGCAGCTAAACGCTAATGCAAAAACGCTAAAAAAAGCTGAAAAACTTACACAGCATTATCAAAATGTCCAGTGTGCATGAGGACTTACAGTTGACCAGTGAAATATATATATATATATTTTTTTGTGCTTTTTTTTGTGTTTTTTTTTTTTTTTTTCATAATGGGTCTGTGACTAATTTTGGCCACAACTGTATATATATATATTTTTTTGTGCTTTTTTTTGTGCTTTTTTTTTTTTTTTTATAATTTCTTCTATTTATTGTATGTGGGGTTCTGGTGTAGAAAGTCATGACGACAACTATGCTGAATGCTATTATTTAATCGTGCATTAATAGTGATACATTTGAATTCATTGATTGTGGGCTCAGTAAAGCTTAGCAAAGGCCCTATAGATTGTCTAGGTTTAGTGTGTCGGATTGTCGGACGGACTCCCCAGGAATGCATTCTGATTTTTATTATGACTTCTGCAACACCTTTTTGCACTTTTTAACTTTGTACAATAAAGACATATCTTCTTTCAAAGCCCTGGTGCCCTATCATCAGTACAGATTTACAGCGTTGTACAGTTCTCAGACTCTCAAGTTTCAGTAGTGGGAATGAAAATATTGCTTTGTAAGAGGACTATAATGATAGTGACCCCAAGAAGTCTCATGAAAAAGGTCCCCAGTCATTGTCTCCTGTAACAGTATATAGTCTCCAACCACAACCATAGCATATCTATAGTCTCTGATCATCTAATGTAGTAAGTCTGTAGTCTCTTAGGCCTCGTTCACATGGGGCGTATAAATGCAAACCTCATGTGAGGGCCATGTTTACCCCCATAGGGATGCACAGGTGTTCTGTGCATCCCAACTCTACAAATATATTGGTCATTTAAACCATTTAGAGTATTTTCTGCCTATACCTATACAGGTGGAAACGTGGGCTGCTTACACCAGATTGTTTGGCTTCTGTAGGTATTCGTTATGGTATTAGGGTGATGGGCAGTAGCATTTTAACTACTTGCCAACCGCAGATAGCCGAATGACGGCTACACTGTGTCCGGCCAGTTCTGGGAGGGCGTCATATGACGTCCTCCCAGAACGCGCTCTCCTGCGTGCCCCTGGGGGCGCGCACCCAGCGATCTCCTGCTGTCACAGGGAAGGGAGCATTGGGCAGCATTAGGAACATGTAACATGCTCCCAAAGGTGAACTTATCGTTTGATTCACTACAAGAATCCTGTATTTCACCAAGTATACTTTGTATTATACCATTTTACTGAATGTGCAATGCAAGAAAAGTCCCCCATAAGCATTACAACAAAGTATTGGTTCATTTTGCTAATTCCTTTAATATGGAGCAAAAGAGAACCTGCCCACTGTCACAGGTTATTAAATAAGTTCCTCTAAATAATTATTGTCCTTTGTTTTCTCACCATCGTCTTTTAAAAAGTCATCCTCTTGAGAAGGCCAGCTATTAAATAGCATTGTGTTTTAGTACATTGTATGTGACGTGAAGTATTCTAGATATTCCTTTGTGTATTTAATATGTAATCCTAGCATTGTGTGTTTACGACTCTCTTTATGACTTGCTGATCCCAAATACATGAATTAAATAACTGGCTGGATAGGAGGTCGGATAGGCTCCAAGCATAGTAGCCTCCAGGGAGCTGGGAGGAAATATTACACATCTGATCCTTCTTTTGTGCTTTTTTGATGGCAGCTTAAGGATATCTAACACAAATACTAGTGCTATTTGCACTTAGCCAATTGCTTGATATTTTGTTTGGAAACAGAACCAGACCTGGGCTCATTTCAGAATTTTGTAGTATACAATCAAGTGTGTTTTTTTTTTCCAACTTCCAGCATTTGACCAGATTTTCTAAAAAATATCCAAAACCAGCAATTGCCATTGTGGTAACCTTTGGTTTTAGAAGGCTTAACGTGGTTCTAAAGCCTAAACATGTTTTTTTTACTGTAATGTATTCCTTGCATTAAGGTAAAAAAAAGTTTAGGTAACAGTATGCCCCCCCCCCCCTCTACTTTCCTAAGCCCTTATTCGATCGGAAACTGTTGGCTCTCACTCAGTCAGAGCCAGTAACGAGGGGACAGGGCAGAGTCCTGTTGTCTGTGTCAAAGAAAGCTGCAGCGGGGCTCAGGAGCGAGCCCGCATGATAGCCCCTATGGCAAGCTGCTTCCCATTAAGGGCACTTGGAGGAGGGGAGAAGCCAGGAGCACCAGCAGGGCTCCCAAGTAGAGGAGGTTCAAGGCCTTCAGGACGTTTCTGTTGCACAGAGCAGGTAAGTATAGACATGGTTTTTTTTGTTTTGTTTTTTTTTCTTTACAGCCAATTTTATTTGTGGACAAATGTAGGCACTTATCCAACCAAATTCTGAAAATCTATAATAATGATACCAGACAAGTGGTGGGGGGAGAATATCTGTATCTTTCTTTAATCATTATAAAAAACACGTTTTCTTTTCTCTGCTTATTTTTTCATTGAAATTTTCATATTGTGAATTATCCCTAAAAACTTTCAGAAACCTTATCCCATGATCCTCACATATGGCATCTCAGGGTTAAAGTGGTTGCAAACCCTTACATATACCCAGTGAAGTGACTGACCTAAGGTGATACACAGAGATGAAACAAATCCTACATAAGTTGTGCCTGTTTATCTGTAGCTTTCTCTACATCCGTTCAAAGGGCTGAATTTATTAAGCTTGTAGAACTGTCAAAAAAGGGGGGTGGGGACCCAAAGTTACATCTCTGAGGGGAGCTATGAGAGCTGATTGGAGAAAAGGGACACCCCCCCCCTTCCTCCACAGGTTCACAGGAACAGAGGCTGTCAGTCTCCTGGAGGTCCCTCCCCGTTACCATTTTTCTCTTGGTGTCAGGAAAACTTGTCAAAAGTGATTTATGCTGATAGCAGAGGAATGAAGCAGCTGACAATTAAAAGCACTAATGTAATTTCTGAGACAAGTACACACTATAGAGGGATATGCTTTGTTCATATTTTATGTCTGAGGTTTACAACCACTCTAAAGTAGATCTTAACCAGTCAATAAAATCCTGTATATGTTTAGATCAGGGGCGGACTGACCATTTGGAAACTTGGGCACTGCCCGAGGGCCCAGGGTCAGTAGGGGGCCCCATGAGATGCCCCTGGTACCTTTTTTCATAGGCTTTTTTGAGTTTGGGCAAGGACACAGGGGCCCCACGATCCCCTATTGCCCAGGGGCCCCATACGTTGTCAGTCTGCCCCTGGTTTAGATATTAGGATGTTAATCTAATTTTAATTTGTTTTCAGTCTCTCACATTTTTTTTTTTTTTTCAAAAGGTTTAATAAACTGAGGGCAGAGCAATTGTACATTGTTCAACATCCAAAGCCGTCCATAGATGTTTCGAATCTTGGCCTGTTCAGCGGGAACCACCCGAGATTCGAACTTGGATACAACCAGCCTGCTGGATTTTACATGCGATTATCACTAGCAGCTGTTATAGCCGCTAGCAGCAATCACTGTCTTCC